CATCAGCAGCAACTGCTGCAGCAGCAGCAGCAACAGCAGCATATCTTAGGGTAGATACTGTGTTGCGTCTGTCTGTACTCTGCGCCTCCTCTAGGTTGTTACTGTTCCTAATGTATTTGTTTGTCTCTGGTTATATCTTTGCTTTTTTCTGCTTATTTCGTATTCAATGCGGCTGAGCCGCTAACACATCCCGCGTTGATTCCTTAAACCAAGCAAAAAGAAAAACACAAAATTCTGTAGCTCATGAGACACCCTAAACTGTGTCAGCAGGAAAGCCCCATAAAGTCAAGCCCCTCAGGTCACCCCCCCGAGAACATATAATACGTGCATGCGTTGCGCATGCAACTGCTGCTGCTGTTGCTGCTGCTGCTGCTGCTGCAGCAGATGGGGATCCTTCATCTTGGCTACTATCGGTTACGTCCGCGCCCTCCATAAGCTGTACATACACAACAAATCAATGAAATATATGCATGCAACAACGTGCTTGTAGTCCTTTAATACACAGTGAATCAATATCTTAAACACCAGCATTTATAGAGATTAATAGACCTAGGGGTTAGGGTTTAGGGTTTAGGGTNAATCAATATCTTAAACACCAGCATTTATAGAGATTAATAGACCTAGGGGTTAGGGTTTAGGGTTTAGGGTTTACCCCAAACCCTAAACCCTAAACCCTAAACCCTAAACCCTGAGGAAAGTTCAACAAGGAAGTCAAGGAATTCAGCATCTTAACAAAACACAAACACTCAATCAGAACGGCGAGAAAAACAAAGAAAAAGAAACAGAGGCATTAGTAAAAACAAAACAACACAGAAAGCAACACATACACAACAAGTAGAGAAATAAAATATAGATACAGCGGAGCAACAACAGCAACACCAGAAGAAAGAAGAGAAATAAAAGTATGCATGAAAACAAATATAAAATATCGAGAAAAGCAGAAAGAAAAAAAAAGAAAAAGAAAATAAAAAAAAATAAAATAATATTTTATATACTTGTACAGTTGCTTCGTGCTGGTGGGGGGCAAATGTTGCTGTAGCTACAGTCCGCCAAGAAAGCCGATTAAATAAATCATTTTTCTTTATTTCTTCGATCAGCGGCAGCTGCAGCAACTAAACAAAAAAATAAAATAAAAAAAAAAGAAAAAAAAATAAACAATTAAAGCATAGACACAATATACACAAACAAAAACAAAGAATACACACACAAATAATACAGCAACAAACAAACTACAAACGAACAAACAACAAACAAACAATAAATGAATCAACAAAAAAAAATAAATAAACAAACAACAAACAAACAAACAACAGAAAAAAACAAAATAAAACAATATAAATAAACACAAATACATCATATAGTATAACCTAGGGGCCCCTGCACCAGCTGAAACCCAAAGCACCCTAAACCCTAAACCCTAAACCCTAAACCCTAAACCCTCATAAGCTCTAGGGCCCAAACCCTAGCAAACCCTCGACGCTATTAAACCCTAAGTTTCCAGCTGTAACCCCCAGTAAACCCTCAGCCGTAGTGATTAGTAACCCGTCGTAAACCCTAAACCCTCGTAAACCCTAAACCCTTGATGAAGCGGACCTCATCTGGCGCCTCTGTGCACTGTATTTCATAGGTGGTGAGGGTTTCTCTCTCTTCTTCTCGGGTGTATAGACACCACGAACGCCGCAGCTCTGCATACTTCAGCCGGCTCCGCGTGCTGAGCCGCACAACCCAAACCTCACCACCCCCCTGCTCCTCCCCCTCGATATCTTTGCTGCCAATACCCAGAGCAGCAAACGCACTGCTGCTGCTGCTGCTGCTGCTGCTGCTGCTGCTGCTGCTGCTGTTGGTGTAGCTGCTGCGGTTGCTGCGGCTGCACGTACGCAAACAAAAACAGATGCAATAAATATATATGGCTCTGAGAGAGAAAAAACGAAATAAATAAAACAAGTCAAAGCAAGTTAGCTGCAGCAGCAAAGGGATCAAGACAAAAGTTTCTCTGCACCGATGCTCAGGGGCGCTGTTGCTGTTGCTGTTGCTGCTGCTGCTGCTGCTGCTGCTGCTGCTGCTGCTGCTGCTGCTGCAGGACAACAGTCTCACCACTGAGTCTCTGCCCCCTCTGTGTTTCTCATCATCAGCAGTTGCTGTCTCCCCTGAGATGCCCATACACCTGAATGAGGCCCTGAAATAACAGCAGCTCCCTGCAGCAAATTTGTTAGATCTTGCAGCTCACTCGATTGCCACTCCTGCTGCTGCTCTTGCTGCTGCTGCTGCTGCTGCTGCTGCTGCTGCTGCTGGTCTAGCTGCGTTCTGGATTCTTCTTCTGGGGCGCTTCGTAGGCTCCTCAGGGGCCCCAACGCGAGCTGTCCATACACCCGGATGCGCAGCACTGCTGTGCGAGCACAGGCTGAGGAGGAGTAGTCGAAGTCACAAGAAGAATTCAACCCCCCAGGGGCCCCAGGGGCCCCAGGGGCCCCGGGGGCCCCAGGGGCCCCCCACCGCCGCACCCCCAACCGCAGGTGAGTCAGCGCGAGGCCCCCAACGTCCACGGAAAAGTAATTGTGCTGCGCCAGCAGACGCTCCCCGCAACCCAACACAGTCACCCAACCAGGAGCTGCAGCAGCACACACACACAGCAGCAGCAGCAGCAGCAGCAGCAGCAGCAGCAATAGCAGCAATGAGGGATGCATCTATGAATTGATTTCGATTCTGTAACTCGAGAGAGAAATGAATACGCATGCAACCGAGGTGTATGTACACCTTTCAGGTGTACATACACCTCAAACAAACCCCCTTTCCCCTTCTTCTTTTCTCGTATACTTACTCTCTGCTTCGCTCAGCTCAATGCTGCCGTCCACTGCGGGTTTAGCTCGCAGACCTTCTACAAAGAAGGGGGGCCCCTGGGGCCCCTGGGGGCCCCCAGGGGCCCCAGAGGGGGCCCCACCCTGAGGGGCCCCCTCTTGTGCTGTGAAAATGTCGAGGCCGTATATGATAGCTGCAGCAACAGCAGCAGCAACAGCAGCAGCAACAGCAGCAGCAGCAGCAGCAAACGCAGCAGCAGATGAGGCAGAAGAAGCGAGGCTGCTGCAGCAGGAACAGCAAAAGTACAACGAGACAGACCCCTGATGGCATTCCCTGTAGTATTCCTAAACCCTAAACCCTAAACCCTAAACCCTAAACCCTAAACCCTAAACACTCACTCGGCGCCGCGAGCTGCACAATCGTCCACTCTACGCTCCCCACTTCTCCCCTCACCTCAGCAGCTGCGACCTCTCTCAACGCCTCCTGCACCACCACAAACCCTAAACCCTAAACCCTAAACCAAAGCTGCTGCAACTACCTGCCGTCGTATTGACAGCACCACCAGCAGCAACACCAGCAGCACCAGCAGCAGCAGCAGCAGCAGCAGCAGCAACCGCAGCAGCAGCAGCAGCAACAGCAGCAGCAGCAGCAGCAGCAGCAGCAGCAGCAGCAGACCTGCGTTTCCTCTGTAGACGGCTCTCCCGCTAGCATACGCCTCGATATGATGCTGCAGGGGTCGCTCCGCCGCACCTCACAGGCACCCAGCTGCAACAAACAAAACCCTAAACCCTAAACCCTAAACCCTAAACCCTAAACCCTAGACTTTGATGGGGGCCCAGGATGGTATATCTCAAGAAGCTGAAACTATAAACACCAACGATGAGGGGAACACCATTGTCTTTCTGGCGAGGGTTTAGGGTTTAGGGTTTAGGGTTTATGTGTTGTTACAATTTGCTCTAAGTATAATAAATAAAAATTAAATAAATATTAATATTTACTATTTATTTTTTTTATATAAAATAAACAAAAAAAAAATAATTATTTTATTTATAGTGTATAAATATATCACCGTTTCTGCTGCCCAGTTTGGTAGCTTTGTGCATGCAGGCGGCAGCAGCTTTGTGAGGGTTTCTCTCAGCTGGGGGTTTAGGGGCCCCACAGCAGCAAGCAGCGCAGCAGCAGCAGCAGCATCTGCTTTATTTAATAAGCGAGAAATATGTTTATATGCAGAAGAATATAAACACCTTAAACCCAGAGAAGCAACACGCTGACCCTTCCTTGCTATCCAACACCATGGGCTGCTGCTGCTGCTCCTATTCCTGCTGCTACTGCTACTGCTGCTGCTGCTGCTGCTGCTGCTGCTGCTGCTGCTGTGGAAGGAAGAGCTCCGCCGAGACCTCCTGCGGGTGCTGCCCCCAGATGAATGGCACCGATCTTCTGAAGCATCCGAGGGAACACGAAACTGCTGCTGCTGCTGCTGCTGCTGCTGTTGCTGCTGCAGTTGCTGCTGCTGCAGTTGTTGCTGCTGCAGGTGCTGCTGCTGCTGCTGCATGAATTGACAAGGACTATTGGAAGGAGAAGACAGCACAGCACCCCACCCTGCTCGAGGCGAGGGCAGCATCAGGGGCCCCTCAGGGGGGCCCCCAGGGGGCCCCTCATGGGGGCCCCCAGGGG